TTCCGGGTAGTATAGGTCGCAGATAACCAAAGAGAAAGAATAAATTCGAAATCTCGAAAGATTTTTATTCCTATAGCCTACGAATTCCAACCCGGAATTTCCATTTCATTTATCTCTCTTAGATTAAAAATTTGCGCGGAGGATCGAGGGAGCGCATGATAAATGCGGCTATCCCGGGTCTGGGTCTTAGCCAAACCATAATATATCTATTTAAGGGGTCTGTAGGGTTTAGATAAGGAAGATAGCTTGCCTCGACCCCCAGCGAAATGGCCTCCAATAGCCGCCCCATAATATTGAGGTATATGATATTTATCTATCTTTCAAAAAATTCTTTGAGAATCATTATTTGATATATGAATTTATTCAAGGCAGTAGAAAATTAATGAATTTATTATCGAATTCTATTTTCTGAATATATATATTATCAATATCATTTTTGGAGACTTTAATATCTCCTCCCAATCAAAATCCCTATTTCTCGAATCTAATATCCATCGTAAATATATCTCCTAAGATCGATAAAAAAAATCCGCATCATATTAAGATAGATATAATAGAATATCTATATGAAAATAAATCAATATTATCAGCTCAGAAATCCGATATACAGCGAAAATACGATAAATTATCTCGTAGATTTTCCTTCACGAGACGCGATATCAGCTCTCCATTTAATGAATTAAAATCCGCAGCTCGCCCAAAGACCCAAAATCCCGTAGAAAGAAACGTCAATATCGATAATATACGAAAGAAAATTCAATGAAATTTCAGCCTTTGAGATATTTCTATAATCATCTATATCAATTTATCATCTAGCAGTCATTGGTATGGAAAGAGAAATTTTTGAGAGAAAATTCAATCAAGAAAATATCTCAAAAATATAAAATAAAATTCCTTGGAACGGTCATTTATCTATATATGAAGGGAAAGAAATTTTTATTTTCTTTAGAGCTAATCAAAATTCGTCCTTATAATATAAATCGAATTCGGCCAACCCAATATTCTATTAGACCATCAATTAATCCAGAATCCTTACTCCCTCTTCGTTCGCCTCAAAATCGCAAATATCGAGTTCAAATCCAATCCCTGGATCATACTATTGGGCATAGTTACTATATTTGCATCTCTTAGTAGCAATATATAATCTTCTATCCTAGGCAAAGCTCATCAGCATCAAATAAAGGCAATCCAAATCGCATAGATATTGAATTTGAAAATCTAACGATTATCGAGCTACGGCCTCATCTATCAATCTAATATCTCGTATATTGAATGCGTAAATTATCTCGGAGACCAAAATTCTCTGAATATCTCGATTTAATGCATCTTCGATTTCAGAGGGAACCAGAAATATCTGATCATAATCCAGACCATTTACGTGGTTCAGGGTTTCAACACCTCTTTGCAATCCCTTCCCCTTAAGATCAAAGACCCCATTTAAGAATCAAATATCCCACTCACCAAAAAATAAATATTCTCCTGACTAAATATACTAGATTAGGGAATATGTATCATTTCGGTGCTTGCGGGGCTTCATTGCCAGGGAAGAGGATCATTGGGAAGGGAGCCGGGCATAGTGTGGGCCTGGTCTAGAAACAGGCATGAATCTCCAGCAGGCATCACTTTAACAGTCAATTAAGCCCTAAACCCTAAACCCTAAACCCTATAAACCCTATAAACCCTATAAACCCTAAACCCTAAGCATGGATGGATCTCTTTTTGCATCTCATGCGGGCAAAACCCATCGCGGCCTCCATGCTTCCCATAACCTAGGAGGACCCCCCACCCTGTAATAGTGGTATAATAGGAATATGGGAGGACCCTATTTAGGGTTTAGGGTTTAGGGGTATAATAAGAATATAGGAGGACCCTAATATGTCCTAATATAATCCCTATTATCCCTTATAGTCACTATTACTGGGTGGGGGGTCCACCTAACCCATAACCCTGAATGGGTTTAGGGTTTAGTCCCGTATCTGGAAGTGGATCCATTCATAACTCAAAACAGATCGAAAATCGGGCACAGTCTCGCATGGCTCAAGCTGCTGCAAGAATGGCATCATGGCTTTCCTTCGCCAGGACAGACAAAAGGTTGTGTCTCAAAGCGGGAGTACCCTCAAAGATTTCAGTGATACATATATATATAATACCTATATAACGCATATACGCATAGACACACGCACGCACACCCATAGGCATGTGTACATATATATATATATATGTGTATACATATACAAGCGCGGATATGCAAATGCAACTGCTGACATATGCGGGTTGTGAAGATGCTATAGGGGTCCCCCATTCCGAATTCGCATGGCGAACTAGCAGGCACCACACATCGTCTGTGCAATCGAGTCGCCAAAGTTCCCTGCGCGCGTCCTGCGGCGCCTGCAACAGCGGCCTTGGCCACATCGTCCACAAAAAGTAAACTCTAAACCCCAAATCCTAAATAGAAGTTTTCATTTTGTTTCCATTATCTTAATAAATCCCCAATATAACCCAATATATACCCTATTATCATATAGTTGTTTCCATTTTCTTTCTTTTCAATTATCCCCAAGATGAAGCAGCTGCCTTGGCTACATCGTCCACTGAAAGTGGTGGCGACAGCGCAAGTCGAAGGATGGCCGGTGATGCAGATGCAAAGGATCTGAACAAGCCCGTGGACAAGAGGTCTTCAACCTGCACCATAGCAAGGCTTAGGCTTCAGGGGGTTTCGGGTTTCGGGTTTAGGGTTTCGGCTCGCATGATTGCCCAAATTTCCCAAAAGTAGAGGGTCCACTCTCATGGGTCTGCAAGATAAGGACTTCAGTATCTGGGGGGTTTATATTTTGGGGTACCCCCATGTATGTGAAACTGCTAATCATCAACGTCAAACCAACAAGCCCATGCCCTAAACTCTAAACCCCTAAATCCTAAACCCTTAATCCTAAATCCCGAAATCCTACACTTCTAAACCGCTACTAAACCCCTAAATCCTAAACCCCTCAACTCCTAAACCCCTAAATCCTAAACCCCTCAACCCCTAAATCCTAAACCCCTGAACCCCTAAACCTCTAAATCCTAAACTCCTCAACCCCTAAACCCCTAAATTCTAAACCCCTCAACCCATAAAACCCTAAATCCTAAACACCTCAACCCAAAACACCCCAAATCCTAAACCCCTAAACAGCTAAACCCATAAACCCCTAAATCCTAAACCCCTAAACCCCTAAATCCTAAAACCCTCAAGCCCTAAACCCCTGAACCCCTAAACCCTAAAGCCTAAATAGCAGTTTCCATTTTCTTTTCCATTATCCCTATATAAACCCCATATAACCCTAATGTAACCCTAATGTAACCCTAATGTAACCCTAATTTAACCCTAATTTAACAAGGAAGCCACAGCTCAAAGGTCGGGATGAGCGGCCTTCTGCCCGTACCATGCGGCTACTCGCGGTGGCGTGGCGCTGAACTCCTTACTGGTGGTTTTTAGGGAATTAATGCATATGGGGTTTCCCAACATTAGGGGTACCTTTTTGGGGGTTCCCTTAATAAGGGCTATAATATTTGTAGGATCTATATTGGGGTTCCCTCATTTTGGGAGACTACCATATAAAATTTAGGGCTTAGGATGGTTTAGGGTCTAGTAGGGGATGATTGAATACATCATGTGAGGATTATATAGGGATTAGATTCCCTTCTTCGCTACTAATCATCAGTAAGGCTCCTCACCGCCGTAGATGAAACTCGGCTGCAGAATGAGGCTGCTTTGGTCAAATTTGGCTTTGACGGCTGCTTCTGCTCGCCGCTTGCCCTTCACGTAGGGTCCGAAAATTGCATCTACCTGGGCACTATACTAAACTAAAGAATTAGCCCCTATGTGCATTGTCATGGGCCCCTTAATGAGGCTAGTATTGACAGTGGCTCACGTGATGCACACAAAGCTCGGCACCAGCAACTTCGAAACCAGAATGATTCTTATACTTACTCAGGGTTAGTAGGAAATAGGGGAACATAGTAGGTAAAAAGTTGTAGCTAAGATGGCAGGCATATCAAGAATGATCAGCGGAAGTGTAAAATTGAGGAAAACGGCCACCCCGGATAAAGCGCAAAGGTTATAGTAGCAGTAGCAAAATGCAGCGGTAGTAATAGTGCAGTAGGACTTGCGCTCCACACATTCCTTGATGAGAAGCTCCAGCTTCGGCCACGTCCTGCATGACAGTCCGCACACGCACGAACTTCATGTAAATCCAGTGTTTATTCAATTTTCAATGTTTTTGCAGTTGATTCTGATTCTGAAGTCCATTACTATTGCGGATAATCCTGCTCCCCTGCAAATAAACAATGGGAATGCTGCTATCGTCACTTGCTGCGAGGACCACTAATGCAATCACTGTGTCCACAGCAGAAGGACAAACCCTGCTTGCTTGCAAGGCAAATAATAGCATTAGTACGAATCATGACAGCAGTAATAATAATAGAAATACTAATAATGATAATAATGACAGTCATAGTAGCAATAGTAGCAACAGTAGTGATAGTGGTAATAATAGTAATCGTAATAATAATTGGACGTGTTGTAGTAGTAGTAGTAGTAGTAGTAGTAAAAATAAAGCTCGTAGTACTGGTAGTAATGGCAGTCACTCCTTGCTGGCTGACACAAGAACAAACCGCTTTGCGCCAGCTTGCAGAGCTGCCGCCACAGCAGCTTCATTGGTTGCACCGTTTCCTCGCTCATCATCCGCCGATCCAATGCTTCCAATAGCCGAAATTACCTAAGCATAATTGGCATGCCGTGCCACTATGACGTTAACACAACGTGCTGAGACGAAATGGTAGGAACTGCACAGTTCATTCCAAGGCAGAACACATGCGGGGCAGCAGCCTTTTCTCCGTTCGGGCAGGTAGGACCTACTTGCAAATGCATGTCCGCCGGGTTGGTACTGGTGAGAGTCGTCTAGGTTTCTGTGCTTGGAGGGGAGGCCCATCCGACAAATTCCACCTCACCAAGCACCCCCTCAGCTCGTCTTCTCCTTGTTCGCATCCTCAACCTTCCCTGTGAAGTCAACATCATCGATGGCCCAGAAAAAGAACATCAAGAAGGCCATGGTTGACTTGAGGCTGACGTCGGAGACCGAATAGAACCGTTGGCAAGCATAGGAGCTGGCATAGCCCCAGTTTCCCATGAGCCAGATGCATGTATATATGACGAAAACGCATTCTTTGATGATGATGCTGTAGCCTTTCAAAATCGGCTGCCGTGTGTGCACAATTCGCTCTGCCGTCAACACGACGGTGTCGACGACAACAGCTCCATAAGCCACACAGGCTACTGTGTTGAGATACCATCCATACCAGGCATCCGTGATCACACACCCCATGTAACAGGCCCAGCAATATCCTCGGCAGCTTTTGAGACTTTTTGGAAGAAAGATGTTTACATGACCACCAAACTGAAAAAATACTTGCTACAGCTACGTGCTAACTGAGCCCATGGTCCTGCAGTTGCTGCTTGCTGCGGGAAGATGCGCTTGATAACATGTGCAAAAGACCGGTCGTCAAGCATTGGGCGATAATTCATACACAGCAAAGTCGGGATTGCAAACGTCCATCCATACCAGCGGGCCAGGTATATCGGCCGCAAATCATAGCAGCGCACGTTTTGCAGAACTAGCCCAGCATTTGTCGCCATCGTGGTATAGTAGACTATCTTCATGCTAAATTCAAAGATTGATATCCGAGCCATCGTCAAGGCTGTATAGTTCGGGGATGGCTTCGCAGATTCGTAGAAGTGGTAGAGCACCAACAGTCCCAGTGGGATCACCAAGACATAACGCGCAATGCCGAAGATTTCGATCTCCGCCAGGTTCGTAGTCGCCTCAAACTTAGGACCGACCACGAAGCACAAGTGCCCCGCCAAACTACTCATAATCTGCGCGTATGTAAATCTCATGCACCATTTTGCAGAACCAGGCCATGAATCCCAGCAATCTTTATAGAGGGCGACTAGCCGATCCATCACGGTGCTGGCCAAATACGCTAGCAGCAGAATTGGGTTCAACTCTGCGGGCAGAAAACTAAATACGAAATTAAATGCCCATCACAACTTGAGCCGAAGATGGACAGCATGACAGTTGGGGGGGGTTTCCCGAAATTAGGGGTACCGTTTTGGGGGTCCCTATAATCAGGACTATAGCATTTGGGGGTCTATATTGGGGTCCCCCCCTATTTCAGGAAACTACCTGTTGTGTTGGCAGCATGCATGCGAAGCCGTCGCGTCTGCAGGCACTTGCCGCTAAGCTACTGTGGATGGAGGACATCTTGCACCGCATTATATAGTCCCCCTGAAGTAGATGGAATATAGCTTTGGGTATATTAATAAGGTCCCCGTAAACCCCGTATTCTATCTACTTAAGTGGACTATATACCCTGAGCCACAATAATCACAATGCTTTGGGGATCCCAAACATGGTAAGATTTCCTGCATCAACTAACCCCTATAGCAATCTCCATTTCAATTTCTATGTATTTTTATTAGATTCTCTAGGCTGGGGAGAGGAGATCCCTACATACAACTACACAATCCCTAGATAAACCCATATACCTGATATAAAACCGATATGATCACAACATAACTCTGTAGAATATCCCTTTGTGACGAGCGGCGGCCGCTGATCCCTGCATCGCTGGCCCCAAATCCTGGGTTCTTGTTGAAAGACTGTTGAAGATGGTCATTCTTAATCTATATTGGGCCCACGTATACATAAAAATGTAATGCTGTTCAACAAGAACCCAGAATCGTCATTCAAGACGTCGCCGCTCTTCCACGCCACTTTAGCCGCCCAATCACCAGCCTGGTTTAGGGTCTAGGGTTTAGGGCTTAGCTTGGGGCATCAGCAGTGAAAAGCACCAAACAAGTGTGCAACATGCAGTTGGCACGGTTTAGGGTTTAGGCCCTAAACTCTAAACCCTGATGTGCGCCCAAATGGCCCTGCCCCGCCCGGTTTGAAAGGGAGGAAGCCTCCCAATCATCGTACTCACCATACAGGACTGTTTAAAGTACTACAGTTATACTAATAATAAACTACTACTGATAATACTACTCTTATCACTCTATCACTCTGCTACTAAGGATAATAATATTCTTACCATGAATAATCATCATACTAAGACTACTAATGAACATAATAACAAATAGCAACACCTAGTACTAATAATACTACCAATAAAATTACTAATACTATTGCTAATAACATTAATATTAATGCTGCTAAAATTAAAAGAATAAGAATACTAATCGAAATACTGACAATAATAACAATACCAGGCACAAATGTGAAGAAGCTCCCTAAACCCTAAACCCTAAACCCGGTCTCCCCATCACCCAGCCTTGGACGGCGGGCCTCCCGAACGGGAAATGCTTGTGACCGCCGCGCCCTCAGCCACCAGTCCTGCACCAACTCGGGTTTAGGGATTAGGGTTTAGGGTTTAGGCTGTAGGACTTTGAACGTTCTGCTCATTCCCCTAAACCCTAAACCCTCGACCGACACTAGTGGCAGCAACACATTGACAAGATTTCTTCGGGAACCTCCTTTTGCAGTCATGGAAATTCTGTTGTTAGAGTTTAAGGTTTAGGGTTACCCTCAACCCCAAAGCCACCTAAACCACCGTAGAACCTCCGCGCAGGGCCTATTACTCACTTTACGCAGGCTGGGTCCCTTATCTGTTCCCTGTACAAGCTCCTGTTATCCGAAGCCCCATAACCAGGATCCCTATAGATCTCCTGCTCATACAGAAGCCCCGTTTACAGACAGTACCAATCTGTCGAGCCTAAGTAAACTGTTAAGAAGCGAGGAAACTGTGTTTCCTTGAATGCGGATACCCGCCCGGAGGCTCTACTTGACTAATGTTAGATGTAAACGTCATCCTAATGGATTCCATCAGGTAACGTGCAAATCCTCATGCATCCTACAAGCTTGTATTGATTGGCTTTGAAATTCCAAGAATTTCCGCCCCTTGTGTAAGTATACTCTAAACCCTAAACCCTAAACCCTGGGGGCTGGACTATTGTGACCGGTATCTGGGAGACCCTGGCTTTTTCCTCCATGTGACTATTTGAACTCGGAAACCACCATCCCTAAACCCTAATTAAACCGCAAACCCTAGACAACTTGTCCATTTGTTGGAGAAGCTCTTGAGATGTTCCATACATATGTGCATGATTGTGCTTTTTGCATGCTTGGAAGTTGCTATAGGTAATACTATTCATATGCCTTGCATACATATGTACATACATACATACATACATACATACATACCTACCTACCTACCTACCTACCTACATACCTACATAAACGACTGTCTTCGCCGCAGACTTTATTTCAATCCATATTGCAGGTGTGAGTACAATTCTGTTGTTGGTGGTACTTACTTCTTGTCATACTGTATTATCTCGACAGAACCCTTCCCCTCAACCCTCAACCCTAAATCACGTCCCCGAGAGAGAAGGGGCCAATTTAGATCCCCTGGTAACAAGTTTGGTGGGGTGCGGTCATTTAGGATTTTTGACTGTTGCTAATAAGGTGGGTGCGAGGAATTTGTAAAAAGAGCCAAGAGCAAACTTGATTAGAATTCAGGCTCTCAGATATTTCCTCGGCTTTCTTGGTTTATCAGGTGCTTATGACAACTGATAAAAGAGACCGAAAAGAAGTCCAACTAGAATTGTGATCTCCTTTTTGTCCGCGGTTCATCTAGATTCTGATTATTTGCTGCGTAAAGGAGAGGACCTACATGCTCTTGTTGGTGTTTGTATTAAATTAAATAGGACCTCACGGACAGCGAAAAGATCCAAGCAGAGAGCTGAAAAGGACACCTGTACAACTCTTTGCAATACAACCTCACTAACAATCAATGTCCCCAGATGGTTTCTAATTAGAGTGACATTTGTTACTGGGGACAAGAATTGTTATATGTTTTAGACAAATACAAGGATGAACAATATGATACGGTCTAATTTGTTGGCCAGACAATAACATGAACTGACATCACAAATATTTGATATTTGCTTAAATGTTCATACTTCTTTTACAAGGTCAAGAGAACACGGAACTAGATTGGGGTCAGCTCTGTGGTTGCCGGGCCAATGGTTGGGAGCCACACAACCATGAGCATGACAGTCAAATGATGCCGAACGGTTTTGACGACGCGCATGACAGAAGCAACATTCCAACGCCTTGTGATGTTGCAGCACGAATGCCAAACGAACAGTGACTTCGGCGCAAAGAAATGTGAGAAACACAGGAGAGAGATGTGCACGAGTACAACATCAAAGGCATTAGTTGTACAAACACCAGGGGGGCCCATGGATTTAACATGTGCTTGCGGAAGAACAACTAAATCAATCACCCCAATTTCCTAAACCCTAAACGGAATGACATGATGCGGGTGTATGTCCGCGGAGCAACCTATTGCAAGCAAGGCTCGTTGGCATATTCTCTGGCCCACGAATCCGGAACCTCCCAATACCTGGTGCTTCGAAAAAAAAGGATGGTTCTCAAAATTAGGGGCCCCTCTTGGTGTAGAACATATTGCGGCACCTAATACTTAGGGTAAAAATGGGACCCTAATTTTTGGAAACTACCCAAACGTCAATTTCATCTCCACACCTTGTGGTGCCTCGTGGTTGTTCAGGTCATGTTGGTGCCACTGTTGTACCTAACTAGCCGAACACCTAGCTGCTGTGGCGGAATTGCCCGCCGGCCTACAACCCTGCGTGCCTCCCTGCGGGTGCCCGGTCTCTTTCGGTTTTGGGGGAAGGTTGAAGAGAGTTTCCATTTTCTTTTCCATTATCCCAATATAACCCCTATATTAGCCTATATTATAACCCCTATATCTACTTAAGGGGGACTATAGGGTTTAGGGTTCACGGTGCAGGGCTCGGGGTTCCAAGCCAACTGAGCTAGTCGCAATGGTAGAACACAAGTGCCCCGGTCACCTAACGCTGAACCTGTACATGCTAGCCCGGGCGGATGAGCACAATCAAGCGGCCCCGAGGGGGCGCATCTTTGAAGCCTTGCAATGACCTTTTGCTGCGTGCGAAACTTTGCCTGGATAGCTTTGCGCAGGTTCAACGACAGTTGCCAAGCTTCGTTGCCCTCGTGCGCCGCCAGAATCACAAGCTGCGGTTTCCCCTGTGCTTCCATTCACGTTTTTCTGCGCGGGTTTTGAAGCAACTCTTCCTGTAGTGCCAGAGGCCACCAAGAGAGAAGAGTCCTTGAGCTTCAGAAGCTTGCGTCTGAGGATGCACCAAAGCCAGCGGTAGCAGCAGCAACAACAGCAGCAGCAGCCTCCCATCCTGCTTCCTCTTTCTCCTTGGCTTACTGGTGTTCAGCAGCGCATTAGTCCTATATTCATCCCTCTATCACTCCTATATAGTAGTTTCCCTTGTCCCTGCAAACCACCAGTAAGTCAGCCGAAGTTGCGACAACCTTCTGGCCATTGAGACTGGCGCCGGAAGCTTGGGCAGAGTCCGAGAACATCACCTCCGCTACTAGGTAGGAAGGCTTTGGAAAAATGCCTTTCCCACTTCAGGTGTCCTTGCCATAAGCATAGTACGTATTACGGAAACATCATATGCCCTTTTGAAAAACAGTAGTTTCGGTTTTCTTTTCCGTTCTTCCCTACAATATTCCTAAATAACCGAAGGCTAAACCCTTCACCCTAAAGTTGCCAAATGCCCGCTTGTCTAATCATTGGGACCTACGTAATCTCAAGTAATGAAACTTCGGTCTAGGGCTTAGGGTTCAGGGACTATATGGGACTGGATTGTATAGGGTTATGCTGGGGCTATTTAGGAAAACTGGACAGGGATATGGGAACTGCATGATTACGGCTTACAATGTAACATGCAAGCCGAAACGGAACGTTAATATTGGCTCTGTCTCCTATATCCCTTTTTGATGCATTATCTGCTTGTGTCGGCGTGCTTGAAAGTAGAAAGAAGCTTTCAAGCGGAGACTG